GGAAGTATTGCATCAGACACTTGGAACTTGAGTAAAGGAATGAGATACGCATCCATTAAATATGCCTAAGTGGCCGAGTTTACTTATAACAAGTTATAAGACTCCCATTATATTTACAAAATACCATATGTTAATTATGTTCATTTTTCAAATATTTAGTTTATTCATTAGTCTAATTGGATTGGGTGACCATTTTCTTGTCTATTTATTTGTGCAAATTACGAATTGACATCTATATTTTTGTAATTTACTCCAAGCAAAAGAATTTAGAGAATGACTTCTTTTTTTATTTTGACAATTTCTTTTAAAATAGTTTTATTTGATTATTTCAAGTTAAACTAACGAATTAAAGTGCATTAAATTTTCAAGTCAAGTTTGATATATGTTTTTGCAGGTTTTTTGAAGGAGTAGCTGATATGATCGAACGGGTGATGTTGGGAGCCAAACCAAGATTATATTGCTTTTTTTTCTTTTTTTTTTGAAGACTTGAATCTTTTAGTACGATGTATTTTAAGGATGATTGATGGATATTCGTTTTGCATGTATGAAAGTTTATATTTTGTTTGTACACACACACACACACACACACACACATATACATATATATATATATATGTGTGAATATAGGTTAATATTTCTATTATAAATTTAATTAATTTGTTAATTTTGTTATTTTTCATTAAAAAAATTGTTAGATGCTTGCAATTGATTTTTTTTTTTTTTGTTATTGTTGTAGCAATCGTATATATGATTGTTATAATAAACAATTATTTGCGACGGCAAAAAAAAGTCACTAAAATTGTGTGTTTTTTTGCAACGACAAAATACCTGTCGCAAAAAGTAGTTTTGGCAGTCACAAATAACTTGCGACCGTTGCTTTGCCGCCCCCACATTTTCGTCCCCCATTTGCGGTCGCATGGGCCGTCGCAAGAGGTCTTTTGCGACTGTATTTTTATTATTTGCGACGGCTTGTGACGGTCGCAAAAAGTACTTTTTCTAGTAGTGTCTCTTGTCGTTTTCTTTTCTGCGCACCCTTACCTGATGTATTTAAATGTCACAATCTTGTTCATGATTGATTTTATTTGAATTGTTCATCAATGGGATTGTTTGTTTACTGGTTTGAATTTTATTTTCAAAAAAATATCAAAACAACAATGATTAAATAGTCTATAAATCATATCTATAAATGTGTATATATATATATCTATTTGATATTATTATATATTAATATCATATTAGAAGAGAATGAGAAGGTCGAGATAAAGAGAGACGTGTGTTTATCGTCCTCCTTTGTCATTCTTTTTTGCCAATGCCATCATTTTCTGTATGTGAACAAAAAGAATGGCTGTAATAAAAAAATATGATTAAAGATTTTTGAAAAGGTTTTTCAAAATGATGTAATTTAAGATTTTTGATTTGTTTATTATTTAGATGTAACTTGAATGATAATTTTTAAAAAAAAACATAAGATGTATTTAGAGTAAATTAAAATCTTAAATAATTTAATAAAATATATTGAGAAATTAAAAATACTTAATATTTTTTTCGCACAAGTAGAATCTCCCAAATTGTACTAATTGTGGTGACTATTTTGAGACAGTGCCGACCTTTTGTTGGAGAGCGGGAGTGGGAATAATTTAATATACTTTTCGTATTTATAATTTATATAATGGATAAGTTAATAATAAAGTTATAATTATTATTGATATATTAGTTAATATATTAACTATGATATATGTAACACTACTCTATTATTAAACTAATTTGTCTTAATATAATCAAATTAAGAGATAGACTAAGTCCAACCACGTCGTGGGTCATTATTGGTCTTCGGTTTAAGCGGGCCTCACATGGACCAATTATCATTAACTACTTGTGTACGTTCCAAAGCTCTTGCCAGTCTCAGCGGCATTACTCTCTATTTAATAATGTATAAAGCATGTGTTATTTCGAAAACAAAAATATATAGAAATTTATCTTTTTGTTATCTTAATTTTTAGGATTTAGTGATATGTAAAATAATTGATTGACGGGTATCTTTTTTTTTTTTATTTTAAATTTTAAGATTTAGTGATATGTAAGATAATTGATTGACTGATAATTAATAGATAATTATTTTAAATATTTAAATATGTTAAAACATTATTAAATTTAAAAAATAATTTATATTTTGTCTAAAGTAACACATCTTATTAACGAGTGCTATAACAATATTAATAAATAAGTTTTTAAAAGGTCTTAAGAAATGATGATCCGTTTAATCTTAAAATTTTTTTTATAAATTAATTAGTCTTATTGATTTTGAAAAGATAAATTTAATATATTATTTGAAAATTAGATTTGCAGTTATACCCTTATTTTTATTTTATATATATATATATATATTCTTTTTTTGTGCTAGAAAGGTAAAATACACAATCTATGAAAATCAAATTTGAGATGAATTTTATATGAGAATCTTTTTTATTTGGAAAATATTTTAAAAGGAATACAAAAATGACTTGAAATATAAGATTCTTCAAACATTTCAAAAGGTGTACAAAAACTCTTTAGTAAGCTTTGAAAAAATGTGTATTTTCAAACTCTAACCTCCAATATAATACTCAAACGTAACACTCCCTAAAAAAATTCATTAGTATACTTTCCTAAACGTAATTCTCCCATATAATACTTCAAAAAACTTCTTAGTGTAACACTTCATTCTAATAAACAAAACACTTCTTAGTGTATTTTTTTCAAACGTAACACTCCAATGTAACACTCTAAAAAAAGAATGTGAGATTTTTCAAACTATTCCAAAATGAGTACAAAAATTTCTTAGTAAGTTTTGGGCAAATGTATAATTTCAAACTGTGTCGTTTGGAAAAAGTACACTAATGATGTTTTTAGTGTTTTTGTGTATTATATTAGAGTGTTACGTTTGAGATTACATTGATTAGAGTATTACGTTTAGAAAAAAATATACTAAGAAGTTTTTGTGTGTTACATTGGAGTGTTATGTTTTGAAAAAATACACTAAGGAGTTTTTTAATGTGTTACATTGGAGTATTTCATTATTAGAGTGTTACGTTATTGTTCATAATGTGGGATTTGTTTCAGAAGGAGCGAAAATCCAAAACCTCTATAGCGCAGATTGTCCAAATGTGTAATTATGGAAGTCAGAAAAAATATCAACTCACTTGGGTCCAACCTAAACAAGTTGTAAGAATGGGCCAAGACCAGTAGGAAAGCCCACCAAACAAATATCTACCAAGCAAATATTATACCCCCCATCTATAAAAGGAAGGCATTCCATGAAATAGCGGTATGCATCATCTCTCTGCAACACAGCACACACATACTCTTCATTTCTTCATCTTCTTTCTTTGATTCAAATTACTAATTTTATTAACGGAGTGTCCCCGGCCGGCAACCTCGGTTGGGCGGCGCTGACTATATTCATCATTGTCGATCTACATGGGTCAAGTTCATCTCTTCGTTGGATTTCTCCAATAAATCCATGTGAGAAGATTTTCTGAGTCCTACAATTGCCGCCGTCTATGGAAATCGTCTGTAAAAGTTCAACAAAGTAAATAGCAAACACATTACTGTAAATAAAAATTTAACAACACTTTGATGGTTGAAGCATCATGAGCCACGACTAGGCTTTGAATCTTCTTTCTAATTAAACTTATTTTAAAATTACTGTAAAATCGGTTTTTGAATTGTGTATACATCTATGTGTCCTTACAAACTCTATGGAAACTTTTGTTTATGGTAAATCGTGATGAAAAGTTTTAAAATAACACAAAACTCATGGATTTACTTTTGCATCTTCATTTTCTCTCACTAAAAATGGGTTTCACACTTTTGTTTGTGGGAGCATCTTTTCGGCATTATAAAAAGGGCTGCTCGGCCAAACCCACTCCTAGGATTGCTTATTTATTTATTGCCTCACAGGTGTTTATTTTAAAATTGATTCTTGAGATATACATGTGCATGTGCTAACAATTAATAGGAATTAAAGAATTATGTGTAGTGGCTCAACAACTAAAAAACAAATGGTTTAAGTCTCTCTTTCTCAATAATTTCAGAATTATATCTTTCTACGTTGTTTCGGCAATCACAACAGCTGTTAGCATGCATGATTAGCAAATCACAAAGCCATGTCGAACAATACCCTGATTCTTTGCATCATCGGCCAGACAAAAAGAAGTTGCCGATTGTAGGTTTCGGCAAATCAGAACAAGTTGCCGATTAAGCATTTTGGCAAACAAAGAGCCCAAGAGAAGTTGCCGAATCTGTGGTTTCAGCAAACAAAAGATGAAGTGTCACCGACCAAGTTTCAACAAAGCAAGAAACTAAGGGTTGTAGAAATGAATTGGTAGCTTTGCCCAATCTATCAGTACCTCCTGAAGGATGTGTCATCATCCTTGAAACAGATGGCTGTATGGAAGGATGGGGAGGAGTATGCAAATGGAAGATGGTAATGAAGGAACGCAAAATGGGAGATGGTAATGAAGGAACGCAAAATATTCTCTCTCAAATGCGAACTGTTTTCACATTAGAAGATCCATACCAAGGTTCAACACTGATGCAGGAAGAAGCTTATAGGGATCTTGAACGACTGTCTTGTAGAGATGTCAAAGATATAATCAAGTTTTTCTTTTGAAGATGGCTTTACAGTTGTAGAAAGATCAAGGTAATTCAGGCGTGAAGTTTCTGATTTTTCATACCATTCCTTAATGTTTTGTTCCCATATATTTGTCATAATCTATATACTGGTCTGGGTAAAAATATATTAACTAGTCTGAGCTATCTAGTGTTTCTAATTACCAGAAAGAAGCGCTATAATCTATATTTATAACTCAAGGTCCAATTTTTGCTTCATGGGATCTTCTCCGATGATTCCACAGCTCTGCAAATGCTTCATAATCTTTGGATATTTGTCTTCAAATCTAACTGCTGAATACTTCCTTCAAGAGTAGTAAAGTGGGGAAGTCAAGGAAAAAAAGAAGAACATGTTGTATAATCTTTCTGTTGAACTAGAAATTCCAGGAGTACAGAAGAAGATTGTCCTCAACGCCATCCTTGATACTGGAGCTACCACGTGTGTCGTGGATTCTGAATCCGTTCCCACAGAAGCACTGGAAGAGAACACCTATACTGTGCAGTTTAATGGGATTAACTCACAGTCTAAGGCAAATAAAAAGCTTCGAGGAGGAAAAATGTATATCGGAGACAACTGGTTCCGAATACCATATACATACAGTTTTCCATTCCGTCTTGGTGGCAGAATACAAATGATTATTGGCTGTAATTTCATACGGTCAATGTACGGCGGCGTACGTATTGAAGGCGATAATGTCACGTTCTATAAGAATGTCATTACTATCCAGACTCGCCAATCTGTTAACCCCATGGAAGCTGAAGTTGATGATGATTTCCTCATTGATCATTACTATGATCCTACAGAAGAATGGATATTTCATTCTGTTGAGCATAACCCTCGTGCTTCTAGATTTGAAGACAAATATCCAAAGATTATGAAGCATTTGCAGAGCTGTGGAATCATCGGAGAAGATCCCATGAAGCAATGGTCTAAGAATCAAATAACATGCAAATTGGACCTGAAGAACATTGATTTTATCATTGATGATAAACCAATGAAGCATGTTACTCCAGCCATGAAGGAAAGCTTCAAGAAGCATATCGACCAGCTGCTGGAATTGAAGGTTATTCGTGCAAGTAAAAGCAGGCATCGAACTACTGCTTTCATAGTCAATTCAGGTACTTATATTGATCCAATCACAAAGGAAGAGAAACGAGGAAAAGAGCGTATGGTTTGCAATTATAAGAGGCTCAATGATAATACGCATAAGGATCAGTATAGCTTGCCCGGAATCAACACAATTATGGCAAAAATTGGCCATAGCAAAATCTACTCCAAGTTCGACCTGAAGAGTGGATTTCATCAAGTCGCAATGCACCCTGACTCGATCGAGTGGACAGCCTTTTGGACACCATTGGGACTCTATGAATGGCTTGTGATGCCATTTGGTCTAAAGAATGCCCCTGCTGTGTTTCAAAGAAAAATGGATGTCTGTTTCAAAGGAACGGAGGAATTCATCGCTGTTTACATTGATGATATTCTTGTATTTTCACCTGATGAACAGGCTCATGAGAAGCATATCCATAAGATGATCGAAGTATTCAGTGACGCCTTGTATCTCATAGGCAAAGCCTACGTTTGGCTTGATCTCCAGTCCACCTCGTATCTCGGAGTACTAGAACAGCCATGTTTCCCTGTTCTGTTCTATGCAAGACTTGGAAACGAACTTGTATTACTCCGATATGAACATACTGCATATGGCTCCGTTGCAGTTCTTCAAAACTCTCAGGTTGGATGAATGGTCGTTCAATCTGTGTGTCTCCTACACAGAGTATGGCCTCCTCAGATCTATGAACATAGACCCGGTGATGAGCATCATCCCTTCGTGTACGATATAACACTTCGGCCGGTGCTATACTGGCTCTGTCTGCCATTGAGAGTTGTAACTGTGTTTCTGGTGCAATCTGCTGCTCCAGAGTGTTTGATGTTGTAGGTCTTCCACGAACCCTTTGGGCTATATTTGCAGCTCCCCTTCCAATTCAGAAATTTCCGAAGGGATAATAAAAGTGAATGGTGGAATCTGCCATCAGCCATGCATTCAACTGGGGCGATGTTCGTACTACCTCATCAATTGGGAAGATTTGATGAAGTATTTATGAGATGGGAATCTATCACCAAGGCACATGTGTCAATGCAGGGATTCACAGATGTAAGGGATAAGCTCCAGTACATCGAAAACATGCTTGGTGAAACAGAGAAACTAATTTGGACTCAATGGCGGATGAAGTATGACACTGAGTTCAACAATCTTATTACCATGGGAGATGGTAATGAAGGAACGCAAAATATTCTCTCTCAAATGCGAACTGTTTTCACATTAGAAGATCCATACCAAGGTTCAACACTGATGCAGGAAGAAGCTTATAGGGATCTTGAACGACTGTCTTGTAGAGATGTCAAAGATATAATCAAGTTTTTAAATGATTATTTGCATCTTGCTACAAGGTCAGGGCGCCTGTTCGTGGGAGAAGAATTATCAGAGAAGTTGTGGTCAAAAATGCCTGGAGATCTTGGTGAACGAATCAAAAAGGCATACCATGAAAGACATACAGGGAATGCAATGGGCGTTGCACCTAGAATTCTGTTTTCCTACAAGTATCTGGAGACTGAATGCAAGAATGCTGCTTTCCAGAAATCTCTTAGAAATCTGGAATTCTGTAAAGAGATACCTATTCCAGGTTATTACAAGGAGACAGAAAGAAAATATGGAATACGGAAGGCAACAACATATAAAGGCAAGCCACATTCTTCCCATGTCAGAATTGATAAAAGAAAATATTTGCAAAAGTCAAAGCATTGCAAATGTTATCTTTGTGGAGAGGAAGGCCACTATGCTCGTGACTGTACTAAGGACAAGAAGAATGTCAAAAGAGTTGCAGTTTTTGAAAATCTTGGAATACCAGACGACTACGATGTCATCTCTGTTCAACCAGGAGATGAAGATTCTGATGCGATCTATTCAGTGTCTGAAGGTATTGACGATACAGAGCAAATCGGTGGCGGTTTAATCGAAACAATCTATATGTTTCGAGAAGAAGACCAGAAGTATTGGCTCGGACAAGAAGGAAGTTATCGAGCACAAGTAAAAGTAACTCCTGAAATCTATCATTGTCAACATGATTGGGATCAACAGAAACCATTACCACATGATAGAAGACCGGAGTGTACAACTTGCAGAAGAAATTTGGTTGGCCAGTCAAGAGCATTCTGTGGAAAATGTAATGCCTTAACCTGTGCATTATGCTCTGCTCATTATTTTGGCTTTACCAAATTTGTCATGCACAAGTCTCCAATCCCATACAACCAGAAACAAGGAAGTTGCCACCGATCAAGCATTTCGGTAAAACAACAAATAGAGGAGTTGAGAAAAGATGCCAACAAAAATATTGGCAAAACTGAAGACCAAAGTGTTGCTGACCAAGCTCTTGACAAAGTCAAATTATAAAGAAGAGACGCAAACCAAGTGTTTTGGCACAAGTTGTCGCCTAAGTGCTTCGGCACATCGAAAAGGAGTTGCCAACCAGATGTTCCGAGATGTCCCCATGACCATACACAATGATTGTTCCGATTGCTGACCAAGTATTCAGCAAGTGTAGAACAAAAGGGGTTGCCGCACAAGTGTTCTCGGCAAGACAAACCCAGAGAGAAGGCCGACCAAGAGCTTTTGGCAAGTGAGAAACAAAAACAAAGTTGCCGACTCAATGTTGCCCAGTTGACACAATCTTGTAAAACCATATCTAACTCAATAACATTCTTCGGCCAAACCACTCAAGTTCTTCGGCTTTCCATTAAACCAGTTGGGTTTACACTAGAAGAACAAGTTTTTCAGCAAGGGTTGTTCGGTAAACAAACAATCAAGTTGTTCAGCAATCCAACAAGGCTGCTTAGTAACTTTATAACCCCCATTTATATTCAGCATTCAAGCCCTTGTATATGCATTTTGGCAGTGCCGTGATTCATAGCAAATTGGTTGGCAAAGCTACAATACTACTCGGCAGCTCTATAACCCCCACCTTCATTCTTTGGCAACGAGAACGACCTCAATTATTCGCTGCTGAGTGCATATTCAATAACGAACCCCACCAAGCTCATTCCCCCACCGAGCATATTCTTCCACTCATCACACTTTAGTCAAGGATGAGTTAAAAAAGAAAAACACAAACAAAAAGAAGTAAAACAATCTTATTTTTGGTCAACTTTCAGAGGTCCAACGACATCCACGCAATGGCTTAATGAGGCATCTGAATAATGGAATGAATACTAGGCTAAGAGATGAATCCAACTCTACAAAAATGAGGTGAATGAGATTTAAAATGAGGGGGCTACAAGGGCTCAAAGTCAAGTGTTTGAATTTAAAAAATTTTGCCATTCATGATGTGCTTCATGAAGAAGATGACATAAGGATTTATCGTGCGCTTGTTAGCGCAAATTGCTCCATTGCATCTTAGCGTGTTCGGGTTAATTGGGTGGACCAATAACTTTGGGGATGCCTACCCTTAAGTTTTTCACCGTGTAGAATCCATTTTGGAGTCCAATTTTGCAAATTCCGAGTCTTACATTGGGATCAATAAATTGGCAAATCGGGGATGTTAAATGATAGATCAACAATCAGATCATATCCGATCGACATACAATTTCAACAGCAAACTCATGGAGCTAGACCATAATCATCCATCTTTGCCAATCCTTCATTAATCACCTTGGCCGTATACCTCCAACTGGAGCAAGGCCTACAACTTGGATTTCTTTTACTTTCAGCTTTGCAACATGAAATCTATGCCGTCTGAAGTCCAATCACAATGATCCAATAATCGTTTCCAATTATTTGGAGCATTCTGCACACATTCGTACAGTCTGATTTTGCAAATTCCATACCACAAATTTGCAGATCTCAATAACTAACAAATATTTGGTGAGTCCCGCCCACTTGACAGCCCGAATCGTTTCTCTCTATCGCCGAACCTGCCTAGAAAAATGCGTAATGGGGCAATTTTGGCTAGTCCATTTCAAATTCTTTCCAAATAATACATATCATTTGAAAGCAATGGATGTATACAATGTGTAATTAACACAACAAAGGTGTCTTAGCAACTTTGCTATATCAACATTGATCAATTGCGCACATAGAAGCATGATAATGCAATTTCATGACATTGATAAACCGTGTACATAGAAGCATGATAATGCAATTTCCTGAGTAGTCCAATGCTTTATAGTCAACTAGAGCTGCCAGTGGGTGATCATTTTTTAATTCTTTTTTTATCTTTGCCATGGCAAAACGAGAGATTACTTTGGCTCTAAAACTCTACACATCTGCATAAATTCTCCCATTGATTTCAATTTTTTGGATTTTCACTTTTTTATGATTAACAAGTCTACATCATTTGGTACAGGAAATCAATGACACAGGATGCACTATTCAAAATCCTTGTAACGTCTAAAATTGATCGTCACTTACATTTAACAAAAGATTCCAAATACGGAGCAATCTTTGTGTAACAACCCTGATCTGTAATTAAGTGCTAATTCGTAATTAAGGATATTAATTAAGTGGTTAAAATAAATTATGTGTTTATCATGTATTTTATATGTTATTTGGCTTTCTATCTGTTACTCGTAGTAATATCTGTTATGAATTATGTATTAATCTAAAAATTGAAAGTCTTATCATCATTCGAAACCGGAATTGATTACATGGATGTGTTATTTGGGATTTTTAGAATCATTTGGCAATTTTTATTAAAAATTAATTCAGTTTGGTAAATTAAGTTGTGTTTGGATGGACCAATGTCCTAATTATTGTATAATGGCATCATAACTATGTATGAGCTCTTAAGCTCATTCTTGAGCTCAATTTGCTCCAAGTGAGTGGAAAAATCTGAGAATTTATTTTAGAGAGAGAGAGAGTGCAATTCTATAGAGAGAGAAAAGAAGAGATTGAAGTAGAATTGAAGATCTTGGCTAGGATCCATCAAAATTAAGCTAGAACAAGAGTGATTTAAGACTCTAGGTAAGTCTTTGACTATTAATTCATGAAGATTATGTATTGTAGAGATGAATTCGTGGAGTTATTATGATCATTTGCATGTATTTTACATATGTTTGTTAAGAATATGAAGAATTTGATTATAATTCTAACATGTATGTATATATAAGTGTTAAATCATCACTTTGATCATGAGTTTTATCATTTGTGTTGAGTTTGGAGTGTGAGATGTACATGCATGTATATGTCAACAAGTTTTGTAAGTAAATTTCCATGTTTGAGGAGTCTTAGGAAAGAATTAAGAAGAAAATTCTACATGCATGCCTAAACATGTTGGGTTTTGCTATATCAAGTTTGATTTTGATCATTCATGTAGAAATTTTGGATAATTGACACATGCATGTTTGAATTATCATGTTTGAACCTTGGTTTCATGTTTTGGAAAATAATTCCTTACATGCATGGAGTTTATGAACTCAAATTTTGTTAAGTTCATGAGTTTTGGAGAAAAGAGCTTGAAAGGTTTACATGTATGAAAGTTGAACTCAATTTTGGCTAAAATCATGAGTTTTGAGCTAAAGGGTTTATAAAGGATCATGTGTTCATGTTTTAGAAAAGTTTTCAAGCTTTAAAGGCAAGCCTTGCACGAGTTTACCTTTGAAATTGCATTTGGAAACTCAAAACTCTGTTTTTGAAAACCCAAAATTTCGCAGTCCGCTCGAGCGAGGAAACCTGCGCTCGAGCGGAGAATG